AATCTTTAAATAAGCTTTCAAACGATGCCAAGATTATTAAATTTGAATAAACAGAACCAGAAATACTAAAAGTCAAATTTTTAATATTATGCATCAAAAATCGACGGTGTACGGCATGGCTGCATAACCACTGCACATCATCAGGCACATTTCCCACCCATATTGCCATATGAACTTGGCCATCTAATGATATTTTGTGAACCATAAGGTGAAAATGAACCAATTACAAAAGCAAACGCGTTTTTGGTCAAATGTGGATTTAGCCAATTTGCTATACAGCTCTTTTTGGATTTAGCCGAATTGCTACCTGACCGGGTATGGATTTAGCCCATTTAAAAGGACCCGCAGCGAAAATCAGAAATAATTTGTCCCTGTCTAATTTTGTTTTCCAAAATTAAATTTGAGCTTCAATTTGGCATTGTATTAATAAAAAGTTAATCTGTATTGCTCATAGGCAACAAGTTGAGCAAGCGTGTCGTGCAGGTTGCCGCTTTCTTTGGGGCGACCTCAAAGCGTGCAATCCGCACAATGCAGAAAAAATCCCCTCCTTCCATATAGAATAAAGAAAACTTTCCGCCACAGCAAACAATTACAAACCGCTCTCTCGCCAAGCAAGTCTCTCGATTCTCAGGGGACCGGCGGCGCAGAGCAGAAGCCATAAATTCGACGAGCAAAGAAGATGTGACGTTGAAAAGGGAAAGGAGATTAAAAAACTTCCATATAATAAGAACTCGCGCGGTCCTGATTGTGTGATTAATGAGCCGCGCATTGAAGCTCTCGAAGCATCGGTAATCAACCACATTATAATGAGGTCGAAACACGCGCCTGTTTGCACAGCAAATTTCTCATTTTGTGTCGCCTCCAGCCGCCAGCCGACCCGAGTTTATGACTTTATTTAAACACCATAACAGCTGGTGCACTTGAAATTTATTTTATAGACAAAGTTAAACAAGGGGCTTATGCGAGTGCCGGCGCGCAGAATGTCAAGCAAGAATTTGCGTTTTAATTATTTCCCCAGGACGTGTGTGAGTTTGCAGCAGGCGGGTGTTACCTCGCCTCTAATTAATTTACGGTAATAGTTTTTGAATTATGCATCTCAGAGAGGAGAAAGAGGACGGGCGCTAAATTGCAACTCTTGCGGAAATCACCTCCGTCGTACTTTGAGACGTTATACGTGCAATAATTATTGGCAATGCACTACTTGGCTCACTTGAAAGCAGAACCAAAGCTCGCGCTAATTAATTTTCATTTGAAGCAGTGTTTGGCAGACGACAAGGCAGTCGAAGTTTGTAAAATTTTATGGTGGTTGAACTTATTAAGTATTTTGAGAGATATATTTTCTTAAATTGGCAAGGAAACATTAAAATCTGTAGAATTTGCTGCAAAAAATATTTCTAATTCATTTTTATTATCCTTTCCAACAATATTTAATTTTCCAATTTTTACAAGATATTGTGAAGCAGTTCTTAAGTCTTTAAAAAGTCCTGAAATTAAAAACAAGACATCATTTTCATATCATCACATTGCAAAAATCTATATCATTTTCTTTTTCGTGAAAGTTTATAAAAGAGGTCGTTTATTTGTCATATGAACTATAGATGAAAAAGGAAAAAAAACTATGAAATTTGAAGTGAAATAAATAGATTTTTCACGAGTTTATAGATAAAAATATTTATGTCTACTCATTTCTTAAGAAGGTTAGATTCTTGATTATTTTTTTAACGTAAATTAATCTTATTTGAACATTATTTAAGTATGAATTTATTTCTATTCTAGTGTATCGAAAGCAATACATTGATAAACTTGATGATCAAAACAAAATATTATATTACTTTTAAAATTGGCTACAAAAAATGATTTACATTATGCATTTATTTATTATTTATTAAATAAAAAATTAGACAGTTTTTTTATGAAGTTAACACAATTAATATTATATAGAATTTATATATAGTTATTTTATTATAAAATAATTTTTTTTCTATAACCATATTATTCATGGTAAGTTAAAAAACTCTGCTTATGCTGTTCTCAATTTAGCTTCATATTTGTAAGAAAAAAATATATAAATTCAACACCTTTTATACACTGTTATATTATCTCTATTTTGAAATTAATTTATGTTTTGTATGGTCATTTGATAAATTGTTCAATTTGGTTGCCCAATCTTAATAGAATATTTGATACATTACACAAATTTTTCAATTTTGTTTCTCTTCTATGAAATACAAATCATAAATTCTAGTGAAACAAGAATATTACCACACAGCGTTAAGCAATATTGACGTTTATCAAATTATGAATAAATTTAAACAAATAAGTGCCACTTTTTCTTTTAGTTAAAACAAAAAATTTTACTGTTCAAAGGGACAAAAAACCAACCCTTAGGTGCGTCGTCATTATTACAGCACTGATAAAAGTGCACGGTGGAGAATCAGAGAAAGAGGCTCTGTGGGTTAGCAGTGCTGCGGCAGCGCTCAACTATGAGGGACCCATATATTCGCCGCGCTCTTTCTCTCATTATCTTGATAAGTGCACACGTACCGCGTGCACGAGGTTCGCTTCGGCGTCGCTCAGTACAAAAGTAGAGCGCACACGTGCGTTATCGATGCGATCTCATTGTTGACTTTGTTCATCACCTCGCTGCGAATATAATCGCGAGCGGCCCCCACACTAAAAGCTCCATAAGCACAATGTGAAGAAAATGATCAATAATAATGTACGCGAAAAAATAATTTCGCAGGCCCATGTTGGTGCAGGTGCTCCCCCCTTCACCACCTTCCACCCCCAGCCAGCGGAAAAAGGGGTTTGTTCGCCCACCCCACTTCGTGCGTGGTCATTAATGAGAGCGCAGGGCGAAATTTTTAATTTCATACACGCCGTCCGCACAATGAATAAAACTGCGGAAGGATGAGTCAGTCTCATTATAAGTAATGTTTAGTTGAAGGGACCATAATAACTTGCTCAGATCTGGAATATTTTTGATAAAATGTAAAATGAAAACCTATTTTGCCTCTTTCAATCGATCACAAGAAATTTAAATAAATAATCTTAAATAATCAAGAATCTTCCGGATAAGTTCATTAATTTTCTTGAGGTCAATCCGAAACTTTTTAATGTTTTAAATGTTTTTAATGTTTTTAAAAATAAGGATATTAACAAAACGCGTTGGCATGATGGAAGATTCTGCAAAAATTTTGAAAAATTTTAATATAAAATAAATTATATAATTTTAAAAGTTAATTTTATTCTTTACTTTTAATCCACCAATTCAATTTTGAATAAAAAAAATTCCAAAAGTCGCATTTTCTAAGTAAATTTAATTTAAATTTAGCTTTCGGTGGCACTGTTCCTTTTTTATTTAGCTAAAAGACATAATACATTTTTCTGTATTTCCTGATTTCATGCGTGCAGCAACTTGTTTCGTATTATATTATTGTCTTAATCTTACAAAATATTTGAATTTCAAATTTAAAATCTGTTTGACATAAATATTAATTTTGTTACGACTCAAGCAATTTTTAATAATTGTTTTATTGAACATCAATATTTTCCCATGCTGCAAGTCATCATAAATTTTGGTGTTGTTATTTTTCCAAATTGTTACAATCACTGTAAACAATCAATCCAACAATGTAACTTGTTGCAGTGTTTTATGATTTATAATTTCTATTGTTGGTTTGTCAGTTAAATTTCAAAAAATATTTTCAGAATCTCGTTTGTGATTTTGTTGAGCTTTTGGAGATAATAACAAAATTCTTGCCGCTTTTCGAATCGCCAAGGTTAGCTAATTTGGATTTATGTGATTGGTTCATCCATGAGTCTTATGAATCGTTTAACAAACTGTCGGACAAGATGTTTGGAAGGAAGAATTTGAAAATGTTTGCTGCTGGTAAGTTTTTTTATGAACTTTATTCTGGTATCTCTTCAAAGCGAAAACATCCCTGATGGGTTAATAGTCATTTCATATGGTTCCTGATGCCATAGAATTGTTTTTCTAAGTTTTTAACAACTGCCGTTTTTAAAGGGCTTCCGCATAAGAATGCAACAAAAGCAAAATTCGAATGTGCTCTGTGGACAAGACTTTTTGAATCCTTTGAAGAATTTTGCAAATCCACCAGCCAAAAAGCGCCAGAGACTTGATAATTATCCATTAAATAATGCAAAAGGATTTTGATATTCTGATTATATTAATAATAATATTAATCGTTATCACCTTGATAGTGAATCTTGGTGTCTACCTTTGTGCAGAGAAACCTTTTGTGGCAGGTTCATGGACGCTGTTTGTAGCTGGTTTGTAGCAAAAAAGAACAAATTCTCGGCTTCTCGCCACCCTTAACTTCCGCGGCTTCACCTTCAGAGTTGAAAGAATCGCATCTCTCTCGCTCATTAATTCCTTGGGCTCACAAAACTACGCAATCATATAAAGAAATTACAAAAAGGGCGATGCATTTTGTATTCAGTCACAAACTTCCACCTGAAAATGAGCAGAGAGATGAGAGTTTTAATTGCTCCTCAGATACATACTGGCATTCAATTTTTGTTTCGCCAGAGAGTTGAAACAGTTTGTGAAGGGCGCCGAGTGCTGCGAGTTAACAAAAATCAGCACCTTAAAGTGTTAGAACATCAACAAATATTACCCAGAACCATGTGACTATTTTCCAATGACACATTATTATTCATTTCTTTGGAAGGCGATCTTGTTCTTATTGAAAAAATGTTTGTTTGCATTCAATTAGTCATTAATTTTAATAATTTTTTATGATAAATACAAGTGTTCTGCTGAGAAAGGCACTGCTGATTCTTGCCCAAAATTTCCGTGCAAAAAGCCATGGGGAGAAGTTAAAAATATCTCATGGCTTCTTGCCCGCAACATCATAATAAAAAAGCCAAAATTCAGCTTGATGAGCTTCTGTAGATTTGTAAAAACTTTAACTCTATTGATTCTTGATTTTTCTTATGGGCTTATTAAAAAATGAACCTTTTACTGTGTTTTTTAGTGAAGTTCCTACCCATTAGAACCAAGCAGCTCCGACCGATCACTCCTGAAACCTATAAACGTAATATAAAATTAAATATTATATTTTGCACAGCATGTAAATTTTTTTTAATAATCTACTTTATAATTAATTCAGCGTTGCGTTCTAAGGTACGTGGAATTATGACCACTCTGGTGCGGGTCCCAAATGAACTTATGGTCGACCAACTGTGTAAAGAAGAGTTTAGCAATAAGACTATTCCGAAGACAATCATATCTGGCAACTGTGCAAATTCTACTGCTATCAACTTAGGCATTTCACCCCTGACGGAACTTAACGTACGAGTATTTGTAATACACAGCAAAAAATTTAATAAAAAAAATTTCCTTCTATCATACAGAACTATCAGGCCACTAAATCACTTTTGGAGGATGTTTTTGATGAAGATTTTCTCAATATGTTCCGGCACATAATGAAGAACAAATGCCAAGTTAGCCAGCAATCGGAAGTTTGTAGGATTGGTGCAGTATTGCGCTGGTATGCATAAAGCTAAAATTGATTTAAAATTAAAATTACTTGCATCTAAAATTATAACATGCAGGTGACCAAGACTGGAGAAGAAAGCTGGGCTGTGGGACGAGAGGTCCAATGATAGTTTATGGGTTGACGATGTTTTTGGTTTTCACACCCAAAGAGCCAAAATCGGACAATGTCTCCAGTGCAATAGTTTGCAGTCTGTTTTGGTCTCCGGAAACCTGTCACAACAAGATTTTTTGAAATTAATCAATCCAGCCAGAAAGCAAACTGAAAAACACTACTGTCCAAAAGTAAACAAAATGTTTTTAATTTAACATAATAATATTTTAATTAAATTTTTTGTATAATTGCATTACAGTGTAAAAAGCAAACACAGCATAAGACTCACTTTTGTTTTGAAACAAGCAGTAATTATAATTTTGATGAACGAAGAAGAAAAAGAAGAAATGAGGGATTCTAAGGTGACTGAGATCGAGGTTCTAATGATGGCATTCCCTCAACATGTGCATCTTGGAGGAAAGATTTGGAGATTCTGCTCGGCTTGTAAGTAGTGCTAAATTTTCCAGCAAAAAATAGCTTTAATGAAACTTAAGAATTTTATAAAAATAGAAAAATAACATTGATGCATTATTCCAACAAGAGTGAGACATGGTGTAAAAATTTTAATTGTGTGTGTGTTTATTACAGCAATCGGAGTGAGATCTCCCACCAGCTTATGATAAGTCGGCCAGAGATTGGAAAATTCAACGACATATGCGATTCTAACCCTGACATAAAATGCGTACCGTTTGAAGATTTTAAGAAAGGACTACCAAAAAGACACTTTTTCGACTTCAGCTAAGTTCTTTACGTCAAGGAATTGGCAGGATCTGGTGGACCCTAACCGGTGATAGATTGATGGGTGTAATTGTGCAAATAGTTTGGTGATGTTCTTTTTTGTTTGTAAATAAATTAAATAATTCATTCTTCTGAATTCATGCACTACTGTGCATTAGCACTGTGCATTGCGTGCCGTAGCATTAACATTTTCATAGAAATTAATTTGGGTCTCTCAAATTAAAATCTTGGAAAAGTTTGAAACTTGTATAATCTCCGACTATTTGAACCTAAAATATCACAAAATAATTCCACCAAAATTTGTGTTTAGAGTTACAGAGTAAACTCGTAGATCAGGCTTCACAAAGCAGCGAAAGGTCGGGGCTGCAAAACATATTTGGCAAAATAGGTTTACCGCGTGTGTCCACAGGCTTTCCGTCGCCGGGATTAATAAAGCCGGGCGTCGTTGAATTTCATGTGCGCACGTTTTGATCAATTTGCGCTCCATGAATCAAGGGCCTAATCCCACACAATCATGGGTACTACAAAGATTTTGGAGCCAACAAGTATCAAGATGGCCGCGTCGGTCGTGCATTGTTGTGTCATCAGGAACAGAGTTAATTTCCGGGGCCGCGCGTACAGTGCACGGCAGTCGTCGTTCGCTCGCTGAAGGCTATTTCTCCTGCTGTTTGATGTTTGCAACCCTCGCCTTTGACATCGCCCGGCTACAATTTCTTGCTGTTTCTCATTTTCAATATCAGCCGGCCGGGCGGTCTCTCTCTCCTTGCTCGCCTCACTCTCTTTTTATGTGTACATTTGAATAGACGCGTGGTGCACAAAGTTGGCGAAAAAGAGTCGCGCACTCTCTTCCATTCAAAGCCCGCCGAAACTTCCTTTTTTAAGGGTCAAAAACAGGCCGCCGAATTGTGTGTGCTCGTGTGTGCGATGGAAATTGAATTGCGCCCTGATTTTTTTTTTTTTTTTTTGCTCTTCCACCCCAAGTTTAGCTGATCGGCCAGAGTGCGAGTTTGTTCCTTTTGTCCGAAATGCAGCTGAACTTCTTTTATTATAGCACGCACAAAAGTGAATATAATATTCTACCAATTTAAAGGTGAATTGAATAAGGATTTTTGCTTTGTCAAGCTAGTTACCTTTTTGGCAATACACGTTTCAACTGCAAAAAAATCAACTTTAAAATATTCACTGTCAATTATTATCAATAAATTTATTTACATCATTACTTATATTATATTCATAAAAAAAATTGAAATGGTGAATGGTGAAAAAACACAGCAGGCTTAGGAATATTGTAATTATATTCACTTAATTAAATTGGTAAGCTATGCACTTTTATTCGCTCGAACGCAACTTTTCACCAGCATTAAAAACTCAATTCTGCAAGTGAAACTCACTGAATGGAGTTGCAGATTGAAAGAGTCGCTTTTTCCGTCTGATAAAAAAGCACTGCGCTGGAACGTGTTAATGAACTTTTGAAAGTGACGCGAGGTAGAGAAAAAAATTGATCGGATTTTCTGCATGTGAAGAGGGCACTTAACCTTCTTGTGCCGAGAGTGGAGAGATAATGAAAAAGCGTAATTTTTGTGAAAGCTCAGCACCGGCGGCGGCGGCGGCCGAGCGAGGATATCTAACACCGTGATATGAGTTTCGCTCGGCGACAAATTTTATTGAATTCCTGTCAATGATCGAGTAAATCTCGATTGCTCTTCACTTCATCAACGTAATAATGCTGCCGTTGCGAGAGTTGGCGCTATCACGGTGATGGACTCGGATGGCTGCGGGCTACAGGAAAGTGAGCACGCCAGTGAAATTCATCAGCTTGATGGCTTTGCAGGCGCTGTTCTCTCGTCATCATCACAACTACACAAGCGGCCTGGCAGCTTTGATTATGAATATTGCCTCCTGAACCAACACGACTCGCTGCTGCTGGCCACTTTGCCATTATTAGAAAATGACATCCTCTGCTCGCTGCACAAGCAAATACATATAAAACTTTACCTCTCAGACTTTTCCGCCTTGAGAGACGGAAAATTTTGTCATTCTTGTTACACTGGATGAGTGGAGGGGCAAATTTTCCGACACCATCTCCACGACGATTCCTTTTATAATCCATCTCGCTTGTGCATTTTTCGTAGAATTAATTAACTAGGCGCATGTCTTGAGTGTTTGTGTGCAGAGAAAGTAATTAATTTCCAGAATCAAGAAGAGGGAAGTGGAAAATTTCATGGGCAATTTTTCACGGTAATCGTTGAGTGGCAACAAAATTAATAACAAATTGAATTTAACACTTTTGAATGTTGAGAAGATTTTTATAATTAAAGCGAGAATATATTTGAACAGCGCATAATATCTAACTATTGTGTCTCCAATTATAAAATCTTTTGAAGAATGTTTTTCAACAATTGCATACCTTTTTTTAAAAACATTTTCAATTTGAAATATCCCTCAATGTAATTTGCAACTGGTCCTGCTTACAATGAAAAGTATTGAAAAAATAAATATAGAATTACAAATATTTATAGGGCTGATGTTATTTGCTGAATTTACAAATTAAGCACCTCAAGGTTCATAGAAATCAAGCTAAGAATTTTTTTATTTGAAAATAGTTTGATTATCATGCATTAGTGATTTTATGGTCGGCAAACTTTTTTGTTTTATACTATTTAATAATCAATTGATAACTTTGTTTAAAGAAATTGACACTCGACAAGATGATCATAGAAGTGAAAAACTTGGCTCTTTCCTTGCTGTATAATTTTTTCACAATAATGAGATCAAAGGCCGAGTTCTACAGTTCCATCAATAATAACATTTTTATTTAACTTCGTGTTTATTAAAAATTAGAAAAAATTATTTAATTTTTTTATGATAATTTTAAGTAAAATTATTATATAAATTTTTATTTGAATGTCTTTTTCTTTGCTTCATAATTTAAAATAATATTTGTAAAACTAATTTTAAAATTATTATGCTTATAAATATTTTATAAGAATATTACAGTTGCTCTTTTTACAAAATTTGCAACAAACTTAAAAGATTTTGCGCATTCTAATAGCTCGTTGATAGTTTTTAATGTATTTTTATTTATTCAACATCTCTCATGAAATCAAACAAAAAATTCTGGAATCCCACCCAACAGATTAAAAAGCAGTCCTATCAAAGTCTTTGTTGCATGTAACATTTAAATAAGTTCTTTATAAAAATAATGAACTCGACAACGTAAACACGACACAGCGCTACACTAGCTACACTATGAAAAAAAAAAAACTTAAAAAATTACTAAGAAGTTTAAACGATGTACGATGTTGTTACAAGGTTATTCCATGAATTTATGTCTTAGCAGAATTATATAATATTTTAAATAACTTTTTTGATTTCTACTAATTTTCTTTTGCAATAAAAAAATCTTTCAATATAAAATTTATAAATTATTGATTAATAAAATATAAAAAATAAAATTTTTTTCTGTTGAGAAGTTCATATATAGAACTGTACTTTCCGCCTGTTTACCAGAACAAAGATAATCCGTGTCTTGGCCTCGTTTTCACGAAATTTTTCGCGAACAAAGCGTGGAAAAAGCGTGGCTTTCTTGAAATTAAAAGGAAAACGTCCACGGCAGCGAGGCGTAATGGGCGCGTTTTAGCTCTCCGCCCGCTGCTCATTGTTGGCGAGAGATGGAGGAGTGTTTTATTCTGATTAAAAGCAGCACAACAGACAGAGAGAGAGAGAAAACGTGTTCTGCGAGGGTTCGTATACATATGTGTGCCGCCGGGGTTTATCATCGCCCTTCAAGCCCAACCAAGCAAACACAGCGGGCTGGCAAAAATGCAGAGAGAGAGATAATGACTGACGAGCTGCTCCATCCGCGTTTCGAAATAAACGGGCGTAAGTGAATGGAATCCCACCATGCAGAAAGCAGAAAGAACGATCGAAGAAGAATTTGTTTGTACGCCGTGTTGCCTACCTGTGTACACTGGCCGGCCAAAAACCAGCGCCGTCAAACGAGACTGAAATTTGCCGATAAATTCGGTGGCCGGGCGAAATTTAGGGTCGAGGCCAGCAGACCTGGGCCATTTGTTTCGGGCGAGACGAGGGCGCACCTAACGAGTGCTTGCGGTGTCCAAATTTAAATTTACAGTCGCACTTGTTAACTCCATCGTCCTCCAGTGGGCCTTGTGCTTCGCGCTGCATTATGTGGTCCAAACTTTGGACCCAAAGTTTTAATTTATATGTTTAGTTGGGTATTTGTGGCTGTGGGCAGCTAGCTTTTGCGGCTGCGCCTCTTCACTTGAAAGGAAGATTTGTGTGTTCCGCAGTTTTTAAACGTTATGGAGTGCCCAATAGTGTGACACTAAATTCGAGGCTTAAAAAAAGTGTGAAATTTCATTAAATACCGAGAAACTCTGAAGATATGCGGGCGCTATTCTCTTGACCTTGACTCATTGTCAGATCTCCCGGTCTACAAGTTATCCCGGGATAAATACAAAAAACGACGTCTTTTATTTTAGGTTTACGCCCAAATTTAGTAAAATTCTCGTCTAATAATAAACATTGACGATGTTTTCACAAAAAATATAGCGGTTTTTGCTTTAAATATTACGAATCTATGAACGGCCACTGAACGTCGACTTTCACAAAAACCGGCCAGTGGATTGTGGGCAGCTCTGGCAACGTTTTTTTTCTTTCGACGGGTTGAGAAATCTCATTTTAAGAGGAATAAAATAAAAGTATTAAGCAATTGTATCTTCGCAATCATACTGATGGAAATTTAAGTTTGAATTGTCATTGTTCTTGGTGCTCACCTGTTTTTATTTCTTACAGGCATAAAATTGTCTGAAATCTTTATTACCTCGACGCACAAAGAAAGTCCGCCACGCCAATGCAATAATTTATAGCGGATGAAATTCACTCGGCTCGATCGTGGCAACAAACAAGGGACGCCTCTCTCTCGGCTTGCAACAATTTATGTGGCGAGAGCTTTGTGTTCTAATCCCGCGCGCGCTGCTGCAATTACACACAATAGGATATGCGATCTTGCTCGTCGGACAGAGAATTATTGAATAATTTGTTTCCAGAGCTTAAATGGCATTAATATACCCGAGAGCAATATGAGAAACAAACGTACGTCGTACTTTTGCG